TGGAAAGGAGATTACACTTTACTTTTAGCTTCGTGGAAAGATGATCTTTGGGAGGCTCCTCTACAACAATGTTACGAGTCAACTCTGGAAAATCATTTTCACAAATCCTCGCATTCAACACTTTTTCGACAAGATAATTGGTACGATCGATTTAGCAGACGTAGACGAGATTGGTTTCCTTCTTCGTTCGCCATATGCCTTTCAACAAGTTCCTCATACATGTACAATACAATTTTATTTTTATTATTATATTGTTTATATCATGTGTACTGATAAATAAATAAAATATGATAAAATTTCAACCATGATTTTGAAAATGTTTAAAACTTATAAGAACAAAAATATAACAATCTCTAATATCTTTATCGCTTCCCGATAAAATTTTTCAAAATTTTTTTAACTTTTAAAAATACAAATTAAAATTTTCATTTTAAAAAATAATTTAGAACTTATTATTTAAATATCGTTTCCCGTTTGGGAAACGATTAGAAGTATTATTTCGAAAATAATGTATATGATAAAATATACTCTTGAATAATATTTGTCACAGATCAATTTAAAGTTTGAAGTAGAATGAATACAATTTAAACATTATTTTATCAATCTTATTATAAAGAATAAATTATTTATCATAATGAACTATACTTCAAATTCGATGTTTGCATATACAAATTCAATGTAATGTAATAAAAAATTATGACGTTAACTTTCGAAAAAAGATTGTATAAAAAAGTAGAAAGAAATAAGAAAAATAATGAAAAATATATAGAAAATAAAATGAAATAGGAATTATTAAGTAGTAATTAATTATATTAATCGAATTAAGTAATTGTAATTATTTTAAATATTTTTATCTTACTTTTCAATCAATAAGATGATGCATTGATTTTGTTGAATCGATCAAACTTTGATCAATATTATTTTCAATTCAAGCAGCAAATATCAATTTGTAACAAGTTATATTATATAATTATAGACAACTCATATTTTTTGTACTTTTAAATATATTTTATTAATTAATAAAAACGAATGATTATTTTTCTGTTTTCTTCAATTTTTGCGAACGCATGAGTTTTCATCACCTTTATAACGATTTTTTGTTCCTCGATAAGGAAAGCGCGAACGATCCTATAATAAAAAATTCGTAAAAATAAATTTGCACTGTTGCTATTGTTTTCTTAGAAAAGAAAGAAATAAAGATATACCTTTCTTTGACGCATTTGTGACAAAGAACACCGCCATATACTCGTTTCACAGTTTTTTTGCGTCTGCACATTCGTGACCTTTCCATAGGTCTAGCTGGTTGAATACCCCTCAATTTATCTTTGCACTGACCACATCTTGGAATTTTTTTCGGTTTTTTAAGATATTGATATACTAATTTTCCACCAGGAGTGCGAACGCTGCAAATATATAATATACGGTATATGTAAATTTTTTTTAGTTCATGAAATTTTTAATTCATGAAAAATAGATACGGTGTAAATAAATTTTTTATTAATAAATAATTCAAACAAAATGTTATTTTATATTCAATTAACGTAAAATGATACGACTTTACATAGCAAATATGTAAATTTCATACACAAAAATAAATCAAAACATAACCTAAAATGATCAAATGATTCATTATATTTTTACTAAGTTTTCTATTAAATTTTTTGCAATTTTGTAATTTGTACAACAAGTATATATTAAATACGCGAATTTTGTATTAATATTTCTATAAAAGTAGATACTTACACGCGTCTCCTGTTACTTTTTGTGTTATATGACAATCGACGTCGATAGGTTAAACGCTGTACCATTTTGGTTCTGAAATATAAATTTATTTCTTAGCAGAAAGGTTCGTTCATATTGTAATAAATTATATTGTCAAAAAATATAGATTTCGAAGCAATTATAAAAACATGTTCACCTTTAAAGATTAATTTAAATAATTTGGGTAATTAAACGTAATATAAAATTCAAACGAACCTTTCGTAGAGCCAAACGGAAAAGGAAACGACTACATTGGAAAAATTTTACTATACGCAAGCGCAATCTTGTGCCACAAAACAGCAATACTCCCTAGTGTAGTAAACAGTGTAAAATTATTTCCCCATAAACTAAATATGTATTAGAAGTTGTACGTTAAAGGAGAAATTTTTTTCTGTTTTTGAATTTGCTCAATAGAGGCACTATTCGTTATCATAAGAAAATTTCATACTGTTCGAAATTGTAATCTGATCTGAACAAAGAATAATAAAGGATTATATTAAGAAAAGAGTTTAAATAATAAAAAAAAGAAGCCAATTCTTACATCGTATAAGGTATATTATTTATTATATCTTATTTACATTCAACATCGTCTTGACAACACCATAGGAAAAATGTTTTTAGACACATTCCAAAATTTGTCGATATTAATTCTGTTATTGCATCTGTCGCGTTTTGTCGCTTTGTTTTATACAATGAATCGAGGACACACGATGGTGATTTGCTGGAACCAATAGTGTAAAAACTCAGTTCGATGAGTATACATAAATTATGATGCGTGTACGTGATAGTAGATGAGCTATTTATAATATATACGGGACGGTACCTGTGTGCTTTGTCTTTTCGCGAATTTAATATATGTTTTTGTTTCTTTTCTTTTTATTTTATTTTTTTTTTGTTTGCTTTTCGTTTCCGAAGCAGGTACTTTGACAAAGTTCGCTGTAAACAGACTGTTAGAAAAAAATAATAATGGAAAAAAAAAGAACAATTGAAAGAGAGTTAAACAACGTGCACGTAATTCGCTTAAAAAAACGCTTAACTAATACATAACTGCTTAGAGACTCGACGATCGTATCTATGATGTTGTATTCCATTTTTTTTCTTTTATCCTGTCGTCTCCCTTTACTTTAATGGCATAGTTTTTCGAAAATTCTGAAGTAAGGAAATAATGTCTCTCTCTTTTTTTTTTTCTTTTTTTCTTTCGTCCCCTTTCGTACAATTCTAATAAGGTAAATAGATAACCTACCACAATTAGAAAATTCTTCTTTTTTTTTTTTTTTTTTAATTTAGTCAGATCTCTAAACAATAAATAAGGCTTTCTTTGCTTTTAATAAATAGTAGTACAGAAGTGTTAATCGAGTAAAAGTATTTAAGTAAAAGAGTGTCTGAGGAAGATGTCTTCAACGATTTTCCATTCGTTTACTCATCGCTACGTTTCCTCGATAGAAAGAGTAATGATTAATTACAAAAAAAAAAAAAAAAAAAAAAATATCGTAACTGGTAATAAAAAGAAGACGAATAAAAAGAAAAACGATAGGAGGAAAAGCAAAATTTATTCGCGTGAATCGAAGGGAATTTTTGATTCGGATTACGCGATCATTTTTTTTTTTTTTATTGCTCTTCCTTCTTTCGGCATTTTTGCATTTTGAATTCTCGTCTCTTACATAACATAAAAAGCGTGTTGCGGTCAATTAAAACCGGGGAGGAAAAATAGAGAGATATAGAGGTAAAGACAGAGAGCGAGCAAACGAGCGAGCGGGAAAAGAGAGATAAAGAACGAAGAGAGATGGAACGAAGAATAGACATGAAAGTGAATTAATAATTAAGTATGATCGAAAGCTTTGAAAATACAAGTGTTGAGACGAAAAAAGGGATAAGGAAGAAGAAGGAAAAAGAGGAAAAGAAGGAAGGCGGTTCGAACGCGAAAGACTCAAGTGAAATCGAAGAAGTCTCTAGTAAGATATCTTTTTACGCTCTAACTAATTATCATCTGCTCGTTTCGTGCCTACGATCGTTTAATATCGATAGAGATCTATGAAATCTAAATATTAATTCACTGAAACTATCGACATTCTCAAAACTTCAGGTCGCACTCGCAGGTTCGTCGCTAGACACAAATAGTTACGGCTGAAAGTTCTTAAAAATCTTTCTTTCATCTCTCTCTCTCTTTCTGAAGGAGTCCCGGCCGAATTTTCTTAATTCCCTCTTCTCAACGCTTTCGTCTACCCGGGTAAGATTCGATTTACACCGCGGTACAATATTTTCTCGTTATACCCGAATTTCGTTCGATCTCTCTCGATATTGTGCCGTTCGGTTGGGACTCCACCTGACTTCATCACTCTTATTCTTTACCTTACTTCTCGTTAACTTTTAATACGAACATTTAGGAAGATAGCGCTATCGATAATTAATATTTTCTGAAATTTGTTAACATTTTCTATATAAAAATCTGCATTTGCGTGTATTCACTTATTGCTTCTTAATCGTCGCCATTTTCAGTAGCTTTTCGTTCTCTTTCTCCCCCCTAATAGAGACCAAACGTCCACCAAACGCGACGTCGTCTCGCCGTCTCGTCGAGAAAACGAAACGCCGCTGGTCGAGTTACAAGTCTCCAGGACCTTCCTTCGCATTTTTTCGAATGCAAACGGAACGACCTGTTGTGTATAATGTCGAGAGGCCCGACGCGTCGATGGCTCGATTCGAAGAAAGAAATAAAGTTACTACTACTACTACTACTACTACTACTACTACTACTAATAATAATAATAATAATAATAATAATAATAATAAAGTCCGTCCTTTACTACGTCGGATCGATCTACATACGCGAGAATAATTTCGACTATTAGGGCCATCTTTGTCCTCTCCCTACCCCCTCGTCGACCATCGTCACGCCGAGCCTTAATCAACTATATTTCTAATTCGTTAAATTAAAGAATAAAAAATTCCCGTGGCTCGCCCGACTTTTGTTTGGAAGCGTTCGAGTCGCGCTCGTCTCGATCATCCATCCATTTTTTCTTTTTTTTTCTTTTTTTTTTTTCGACGAACGTTCGCCGCCGATCTCACGCGGGGATTTCTCCCTCCCCTTCCCCGTGATCATGATGTGACACCAGTGGGAACCAGTCTTTACACGATTAGCGAACGTGGATGTAACAAGGATATAGACCATCCATCTCGACGAACAAGCCTTTTCTCTTTTTTTTTCTTTTTTCCTTTTTTTTCCTTTTCCTTTTTCTCTTCCCCCTCTCTTTAACCAATGCTAATACCGTGATATCGTGATACGCGTGCACGCGTGCTGGGATGTGGACGTTGCGTTTGCGATGCGAAACAATTCGAATCGCTCACTTTTAAAAGTAAATACTCTACTATATGTATATTATAGAGACGATCGCTAAATCAATTCAGCTTTCGTTCCTTTCGCGAAAATCAATATCACGTCGAAGGTGTCGCCGCGAAAACTTTTCTAGATAATTATTTACCATTAACGCCAAATCTTTTACTCGTCGTTGCCTCGAAAAAGATTTTTACCCGGTAAACGCACCTTATATATTCACCTTTCATTATCATTCATCTCTCTCTCTC